TAATAATTTAATAATTATAAATTATTTTAAATAACAACACTTATGTAAACATAATATTATCACGTAAACATATTTATATTTTTATTTTATATAGGTTAGAAACTTACAATTGTGCATGCGGTCAACTATTGGTGTTTTGAAAAATAGCAGGTTCCAATAGATGACCGAAGTCATTTATTGATGGTACAACGGTGTTTTATTGTGCCAGTATTTGACCGGTCGTTAAATTGGTATTTATTTGATTGTTTTTGTCAAATCTTATTGAGAGATTTGTTAAGAAACTATTAAAGACTACTTCAGAATTTAATTTGGCAAGATTAACCTAATGGAAACTTTTTTGTTAACTAAAACATGTAGTCGCCTCTCGGATGAGTATATACTCTACTATAGTATTTGACCGATTTTAGTCAGATTATGCGGTGAAAAATTTTCATGAATTATTTTCGATGTTCTAATAATTAAATAAAATCTGGAATACCTATTCATTGTAATGATTATAAGTTTAACAATAGTTAAAAATAAATTTCAGGGTCATAAAAAATGCAGTTAATAATAATTTTCGGACTTTTTTTATCAAAGCGGTCAATTACTGGTGCCCGGTAAACTACTGGAACATTTACCCTATAGTTTTTTACATGTGACAATTTTTTTTTTTTAATTGTTTAATTAAAATTTTTTCAATAAAAAATTTTAAAATGTCGGCAAACTTCATTTTCATAATTTTATATATTTTATTTAAGGTAAAAGACCCAGTTATTGACACTGGCCTAGTTATTAACACTTGCAATTTTATTTTAATTCAAAAAAACAAATCAATTCTAATAAATTGATAAATCTTATTTTTGAATTATAAATTTTAAGAAAATTGGTTTCCGGAGTAAAAATTATCTGATATCATAATGAGGTTCATTATGAATATCATAAGGAATTTCATATTCTGACACAAATATGAGATTCATATAAAAGCCATGTTAATATACATTTGATACCAGTAATAAGTAAAATATTTACCCTGATTAAATAAAGTATTAAAAAGTAATAATACTGAGCCGTAAAGTTAGCCGTCAGCTGTTAATTTAAAAAATTTTTTTTAACAAATCAATAATAATAAAAAAATTATTCTAAAAATTTTCACTTGTAATTTTTAATAATTTTTATATGTGGAATTTTTTAATTAAATTTTTTATATAATAATTAAATTGTTATAAAGTTCTAAAAAAATTTCTTATGTCTGTCAACTTCAGTGTCATAAAAAGTATTGGTTTTCTAGTCAATCCAATACTTTTCAATACTTTTTCCTTTGTCTCAATACTTTTTTTTATTCAGGGTATGGGAACAATTTTTTTTTTTCACTAGATTATAAAATTTTAATTTTTCTCGTTTGAGAAAGAAAATTTCTAGTAATTTGATTATAAAAATCATTATGATACACTGAGAAAAAAAAAGTATTTTTATTAAGAAAATTTTCTTGATACAAGAATTTATATTCTTGAAAATTTTCAAGAATATATATTCTTAGAAATTTTTAAATTGATTGAAATAATTTTTACTTAATTTAAATAAAACTATTCATTTGTTTATCTATTATCCAAAGATAAATATTGATGTTCTTCTCTTGAAAAATTAATAATTAATAATAATAGAATATTTGATCGTCAGCGAGTTTCTTGAACCAAGAAATTATTAATTGAGCAAAAGAATTCTTTTTTTCTCAGTGTATTAACATGAATTCGGAATAAAGTGATGGTCATATCTGCATAAAATCATAATGATATTATAGTGATATTGTTAGCCTTTTTAAATTATAATATAAAATTATTGAGTCATAACTATATACAGGAAATAATGCAAATTAATTAAATTAATGAAATTTTTAGGAAGATTCAAATTGTTTTCAAAATAAAAAATAATTATTTTAAGACGAAAAAATTTTTCAGTCAAAAATTTTTTTTCAAATCAAGATAGTTAGTGTTTTTCTAAATATTCTTCTGAGTTAAGAAAATCAAGAAAAAAAGTAAAGTAGTTCAACAGTATAGTGCATGATAAAAACACTGTTTTTCTCAATTATTATCCATTTCCTCTGATTAACAGAAAAAATGAAAATTTTACTATTCTACTTTTAAAAAAATTCGTTCCCATAAGTATTTTACTTATTACGGATCTCAAATGTATATTGATATGGCTTTTATATCTATCTCATATTTGTGTCAAAATATGAGATTCATTATATTTATAATGAACCTCATCATGATATCAGATGATTTATAGATGAATTAATTCTTTTAATTAGAATAACATTGCAAGTTTCAAACAACTAGGCCAGTGTCAATAACTAAGTCTTTTATCTTATTTATTTTTTCTTAGACTTGATAATAAGTATGTTTAATTGAATTTTTTTAGATATAAAGGAAAAAAGGTGACGAGGGAAGAAGCTTTTGGTGAGGAAAGTGCATCTGATCAGGATGATGTTGAAATGGAGTCTGATGAAGAGGAAGATGACGATGAAGAAGAAGATACTGATAATGTTGATGAAGATGAAGTGGAAGGAACTGATGAAGATGAAAGCGACAATGATGGTGATGATGATGATGATGATGAAGATGAAGATGAAGAAAAAGACACAGAAAATCCCCTATATCGAGACCGCAGTGATAATTTATTCAAAAATCTAGTCTCTAATCCTCAGTCAGAAGCTGAAAAAGGAAACTGCGTTAAAACACAGCAGAGAATCTGGGAAAAACTTCTGGAAATTCGGATTAAATTGCAGCCAGTTGTAATAACCAGCAACAAGATGCCCCAACACGACGTCGTAAAAACCCTGCAGACTAACCCGAAGTTTAACAAACAGAAAAAAGAGACTCAGAATAAATTATGCGATGTCTTGGATAATTTATTGGATCTTCAGCAAAAACTTTTTAAAAGCTTTCCTGAGACTAAGAATCTATTAGACCAAACAACTGCTGACAAAAAAATTGATAATCAAGATGAAGACGACGAAGAAATTTGTTCAGATACTGAGGAAGAGATTGAAAAGTCTGAAGAAGAGCCAGAGGAAAAATCAGAAGAACCTCCAAAGAAAAAAATCAAACGCAGCCTGAAGGATTACGAGAAAATAATCAGCGACATTCACAAAAAATACACGCCTTACCGCAACTCAGTGATACAGAAGTGGAACGATAAGACTCGTGTCGCTGCTGGAAAAATGAATAAAAATGCAAACCAATCTGTTGTCAGGCAAATAGAGTTTGTGTTGAATGACAAGTCTAAATTGATAAAACGCACTCAGCTTAAGCGGTCAGAGTACGAAATCGTGGGAAAGAAATCGCTGGATGAGACCGACGAGGATGGCAGGAGAGTTCAGGAGTACGACACCGAGATCTACGACGATGACGACTTTTATCATCAACTCTTACGGGAGTTGATCGAGCAGAAGACTTCTCACATCACAGACCCGGTGGAGCTCAGCAGACAGTTCAGTAAATTACAGACGATGAGAAAAAAGTTGAAACGGAAGATTGATACCCGCGCCACCAAGGGCCGCAGGATACGTTACAATGTTCATACAAATTTAGTTAATTTCATGCCAAGTATAACTGGAAATGATACTTGGACTGAATCTGGGAAAACTGCTTTATACAATTCGCTTTTTGGCAAATTAAAAACTGCTGAAGTTGAAAATAATTAATTAATTTTCATTATTATTGTAAATAAATTATCAATAAAATTATTTTTAAAAATTTATTAACATTAACTATAATTATTGATATTGTTTGGCCTGTTCCCTAGCCTCAGCTATCTCTTCTTCAGTGACACTGGGAGGTTGACCACAAGCGATCTCTTCGGCACGAATGAACGCCAGTTTGTCAGCTTTTTCGTTGAAAAATATTTTCTTCTGGACATTAAGCTCCTCTCGGTACTTCTCAAGCTTAGTAGAAATAATTTTGTCGCAGCGGATGGTTGTCAATTTTCGAATTGAAGCTTTCCTTTCGACGCGATGGTACTCTGGTGGATGGGGCTTGAACTTCAGGTTCATCTTCTCCAGAACCCACTCGAATCGGCGGTAGTCCCACTTTCGCAATCTGCCGAGGAGTTTTCTGCGCTTATCTATCAGTTCTTTCAAAAATACTTTAGTTTTTTTGTCGCGAGGACGCTCGGTTAAATATTCCTGGAGGTAAAGTATTTCGCTGGTCATTGCAGCAACTAAAAATTAATTAATAAATAAATAAATCAGTTCAGATTTTAATAATTATACTAACTATAGTTACTAAATATATCGCGTTCCAGGTGCCATAAAGGCGTAAATCGACAAAGGGTCCCGGTGAAAAGCCATAACGGCGTATAAAAAATTTTTTTTCGGAAATCGACGTAGTTTTGTCCAAAATGTATAGAAATGCAAAAAAAAAAATTTATACACACTTATGGTTCCCGGGACCTATCTTGGATGCCATAAGGGTGTATAATAAAAATTCTATTTTTTTTTCTAAGACCAAAAAAAATTTTTTTTGCATTTCTGCACGTTTCATTCATAGATAAGTTGATTCTTGAAAAAAAAAAAAAAAAAAAAAAAAAAAAATTTATACGCCCTTATGGCATCCGAGGTAGGCCCCGGGAGCCATCAGGGCATATAAAAATTTTTTTTTTTTTTTTTTTTTTTTTCGAGAATCATCTTATTTTTGAATGAAACGTTCAGAAATGCATAAAATAAAATTTCTCCAAACTAAAAATTCTTTTTGAATTTAGAAAAAAAAATAGAATTTCTATTCTACGCCTTTATGGCATCTGTAACGCGATATGATGTGTAAAGATTTCAGAGGGAATACGGATCAATGAACGGAATGCTACTGCATCTTAGGTCGCAACATTTCGCTGTATTTTTTCAGCTTCTTCAGGCTCTCTAAATACGCTTAGCATTCATGTTACACAAACTAAAATCTCTCATATCGATATATGTATATTTAAAATCAAGTACTCGTTACGATGTACAAAAAACTTTAAATGAAAGACTCACACCCAATTAAAACAGTAAATATCATACATTAAGTCAATAATATCTGACTAACTCCCTTTGAAATCTTTACATCTTATGTTTATGTTGGATCTTAATTAGTTATCATTATGAATATATGATATTAAGTTCTTGATTAATAATTAAATTATTAAATAAAATAATTACTTTCAGCTTCTGGAGACCCACGGTCTAATTCATGTCTTTTAACAAGTGCGATGGTCCTTTCACGATTCATATTCTCAGTCATCTTTTTCGGCAAAAATTCCAGCGTACATAATCTTTTAACTATGTCATCAGCACTAAAAACATTTCAGATATTAATATTAATAATCTATCAAACTTACAAGTGGTTAACAAGACTTACTCCTGTAATTCTTTGGATTGATTGTACCAGCGGTACAATTCATCACTTTTAGTCGTTCGCTCCAGACCCATATCACAACTTTTCGATGGATGAGTAGCTGGTACTTTCTCAGGACGTGTCCATTCAATTTTAAAATCTGACTTGAACGTTACGACCAATCTCGCCGGAACAATTTTAATTGGTACATGTTTTATTAAATTACTTACTGGTCTGATAGTGTTCAATATTATGCTCATTGTTGCATTTAATAAATTGGATTATCTGAAAAAAATAAAATAAAAATAATATCTAACCTCTCATAAAATAATCATAGTAATAAAGAATTTTATTTAATATTTTATATACTTACGGATTTGTTTAATTTATTTATTATAATTATGTTAAACTACACTTTGTTTGTTAAACACATGAGCAATAATAATAAAATAAATTTACCGTCAAAGAAAATTTTCACCGTTTCAAAATGGCACCGACAGATGGCAGCTCATTCAAAGTTTAGCGCCAAAATTTTTTAAAAGTGACTGTTACCGAAAAGAACGCTTCGTAAAATGGCGCCAATTCAAAAATATTAATTTCTTCAAAATTTGATAAAAATTTCAGAATAGTTAAATATGAAATTCAATTATCAGATAAATAATTTAGAAAAAAAAATCATTTTTATAGAAGTAATAAGAAAAATTTTTGTCAGTAAGAAAGTATAGGTAAAATAAAATAAATGCATTTAACAAACCTCGTCAGAGGAATAATATGCAGAAGGGTCAACACTTGTGGATTTATCCAATCAATCGAAGCCAGATGATAGATGATGGCATCAATGTAGTTCAATACATCCTAAGGGTCTATCCAAAGCTGGAATTTTATTCTAGGAACTATTTCGAATTACACAATACGTGACATTTAAGTTAGCTGTCACTGAAAATTTTTTAATTTTATTTAACAAAAAGATTTGTTCAAAAAAATTGTCAATTTTTTTTTCTACTTTTTTTTTGCCATCATTTTTATTTGTTAAAAAAATTCTTAAAATGATTAAATATCTGCTAAATTAATTTTCGTACACAATACACAACACTGCATAAAACACTAAAACGATAAATTTTTTTTTTAGAACTGAGCAAGTTTGTTAATTCTCGGAATTTAAATAAAAAATATTTATAAAAGTCAATCGGAAGCTAATTAATTTTTTTATTGATCGCGACACTCACTTTTAACTACATTGCTCCATTTTTTATTATAATTATTATTATTAAACTAATGGAAGTACTAAAAATTTGAGTTTTTTATTTAACCGAACGCAGACTGAGCTGCTCGTAGAAACGGTGGTTGAAAACTTAACGCGACGTTGCCATTTACTCTCTCGGGAGTTGTGTGCTGAGTCCGCTAGAGTTCCGGAGTATCTATCCCCACTACTGAATTTACGCACCGTTTCTATAGATATGTATTTTTGTTTACTTGAGACAAAAAATTTTAAGAAATTTAACCAGTATTTTTTCTTTCTTAAAAAATAGAATAAAATAATTTTTTGAATTTATTTGAAAATAAAAAAAATTAGGAAATTTAAAATGTAAGTTTAACGCCATTTATTATGTGTAATTTTCAAATAAAATTAGAAATAATTAAGTATAAAAATTTTTTTCAGAAAAAAATAACTGGAGGATAAAAAAAAAATTTTTAGCTAGTTAGTCAACAAAAAATGGAATTATCAGATCCAAGTCCCGAAGATCTTCAACGGAAATTATATTTCCTGGTGGAACAACTTCAAAACATGGCTAGTGCTCTACCTTCAAAATACCAAATGCGTTTGCCTTACGAATTATTGTCCGGACTGGCCAACTCTTTGCTAAATGACACTATTTTTGAGATAGTAAAAGGTCTGATGGAGATCCAGCATGTGACTGAGAAACACTTGTTTCAACAACGGCTCCAGCTGCTAAATCAGCAGAAGATACAGATGCAAGAAGTCCTAGCAGGTTCCAACACCGAGGAGGAGAAAATCGCGGTAAAAATAGCCCTCGAGGAAAAGCAGAAGAAAGATTTGAAGGCCACTGACATGAGACTGGTGATGCAGTTAGACCAGAAAGTCGCTGATCAGCAGAGTACTCTAGAAAAGGCTGGAGTTCCTGGTTTTTACGTCACCAATAATCCTGCAGAAATTCAACTGCAAATGAGGCTTTGTGACTTTATTATAAGACTAAGTAAGATGGAAATACCTAGATGACATTTATTGATAACACCTTAAATTTACAAAAATTAAATTTATTATTTAAATTTTTATAATAAAAAAAAAATACTAAGCTAATTAATAATTATTATTTATTCTTTTAAACATATTTACAAAATAATTTTTATGCGTAATTCACTGTCTAGTCGGTCTTCTTCAAATTGTTGTATAACCAGAAGATAATTTTTCTTTTAGGAATGTATACAAACTAAAGGTAATCGGAAAGAATAGACTCGGAAAAAATTTTAAAGTTATGAAAAATTCATATTATTTCATTAAAATTATTATAAAATAAGAATTATAATATCCACCACCACAATTTTCCTGAAAAACAAGCACCCCAAGAATGATCGCTTTTTTTTGTTAAAAAAAAAAAAAATATTATTAATTAAAGAGTTCAGTAATTCAAAGCCAACTCTACCTGATCCAAATTGATGGTAGACTAATTTAATTTTTCATTTTCATTTATTAACTATTTTCACCACACTATTGTCGGTATGAGCACTCATACCATCCTCGGGTGAATATATCTAATAATTAAAAATCTTTATTTAATTAAGATTTAGCAAAGATGTTATTTTTTATTCAGTGAAACTTTTTCGGCTACTGAAAATAATTCGGAACGCTCAGATGAGGACTCGAATCTGGTTTTTCAGTAACCGAAAAAGTTTCACTGAGTAAAAAATAACATCTTTGCTTAATTTTAATTATTAGATATATTCACCCGAGGATAGTATGAGTGCTCATACCGACAATAGTGTAGTGAAAATAGTTAATAAATATGACACTGAAGTTAGCAGACGTCTAAAAACTTTTGATTTTTTTTATTAATTAAATTATGTACAACTAAAAAGATATTTCTAAAAAATTGCACTTATAGTTTTTCAAGTTTTTTACATGTGAAATTTTTTTTTTTAATTGTTTAATTGAAATTATTTCAATAAAAAATTTCTATAAATTTTGAAATGTCGGCTAACTTCATTTTCATTAATAAATGAAAATTAAAATTTAATGAAAAATTAAATTAGTCTACCATCAATTTGGATCGGGTTAGTGAAATCACCGATCTTCGGAAAAAATGAAAATTATTATTATAATTTTTATTTTATAATAATTTTAATGAAATAATTTGAATTTTTCAAAACTTGAAAATTTTTTCCAGGTCTATTTTTTCCGGGATTTCAAACTAAATAATTTGTGATGTACTTAACGTCAGATGAATTGCATCAACTGTTAATAGTTATTCTTTAAACTTAATTTTCCAAGTCTTTATTTAAAAAAAAACAGTCATTACGCGTTTGTCGCATGAATAGAGACAGCTTGGGGCTTGGTATGAAAGTCAAACCCTGTTGAGTCTTTAACTGGGCTGGACTGCTGACTATCATCAAAGCAAACTTTGTATACGTCTTGATAAGTGCTGGCAAAATGTACCTCCAGACCATCAGTGATGTACTTAGCAAGATCATCAAAATCTTTTCTATTTTCTTCCGGTAGAATTATACACTTAACTCCGGCTCTCTTCGCCGCGATAGTCTTCTCCTTAATTCCACCAACAGGCAGAACCTTGCCCATCAAGCTGAGCTCTCCAGTCATCGCGACGTCTTGTCTGATAGGTTGTCCTCTGGCAAGAGAAATCAAAGCCGAGGCGATGGTTACTCCAGCGCTGGGTCCATCCTTGGGAGTCGCTCCCTCAGGTACGTGAAGATGCAGATGAGCATCGTACAAAATCGTATTGTCAGGGTCTATTTTCTTCAAAAAATTCCGAGCTACTGTCATCGCAATCTTCATGGATTCCTTCATAACGTCACCAAGATGCCCCGTGAGTTCCAAAGTACCCTCGTATTTTTTAGTGGTGAAGGGTTTGCTGATAGAGGTTTCAATGAACAGAGATGAGCCACCCATCGCGGTCCAAGCTAGACCCATCACCACACCTGGAGGCGTTATGTCATACATTCTGTCGTGTGTAAAGATGGGTTTGCCAACGAAATCAGTCAAATTGTCCTTAGTAACTTCTATTTTCTCAACTTCCTGTTTGACGAATTTAAACGCGGCCTTTCTCGACACTTTTTCGATATGCTTCTGAAGATTTCTAACACCTGATTCACGGCAGTAGGCTCTTATGAGCTTAGAAAGAGCTGATTCATCAAAGGTTATTTGCTCAGCAGTTAGTCCCGAGTCTTTCATAGCCTGAGGAATCAAGTATTGTTTGGCGATTGCTAATTTTTCCTCCGCGACATAACCAGACATGTCAATCATCTCCATACGGTCTCTCAGCGGCTCAGGAATAGTGTCTACGACATTCGCGGTGCAGATAAACAAAACCTTTGAGAGATCAACTGGTACGTCTAGATAGTGGTCGAGGAAATTCGCGTTCTGTTCTGGATCCAACATCTCCAGTAAAGCTGAAGCGGGATCTCCTTGGTAGCCTTTGCCGATTTTATCAACCTCATCGATCAGCACCAAAGGATTTTCAGTTTTGGTTTTTTTTAGACACTGGATTATTTTACCAGGCATTGCGCCGACATAAGTACGCCTGTGTCCTTTGATCTCAGCCACGTCAGTCATTCCCCCGACGCTGAATCTGAAGTACTCGCGGTTCAACGCGCGAGCTATCGATCGCGCAATCGAGGTCTTTCCGACACCCGGAGGACCATGGAAGCACAGAATTTTACCCTGGGTAGTCCCCTTGAGCTGACTGACGGCTATAAACTCCAGAATACGTTTTTTAATGTCTTCCATTCCGTAATGATCTTGCTCGAGGATATCTGAAGCCTCCTGAATTTTCAAATTCTCCGGACTGGTAACTCCCCAGGGCAAAGAGGTCAGCCAGTCTAAATAATTACGCGTGACATTGAACTCACTACTGTGATTCTCGAGGAAACTTAGCTTGGTCAATTCTTCTTCGATTACGTCCATCACCGGTTTAGCAACGACTTTTTCACGGATTCTCTCTCTGTACTTTTCTTCAATGGCGTCTTTGTCTTCTTTCTCAAGACCCAGCTCTTTTTTTATTACCTTCAATTGCTCGTGCAGGATGTATTTGCGATGCTGCTGTTTAACTTTTTCTTCAACTTCACGGCCGATTTTCTGCTGGAGCTTGCTCAGTTCGTACTCTTTTTTCAATAAAGCCAAAGAGAGACGCAGTCGCTTGCAAATCTGATGAATAAAAATTTAAATATTAAAAAAATAAATTAACTAACTAAATAAAATAATAAATTTGAATAATTAAATTACATCTAATTCCTCGAGAACTTCCTGAAGTTCTTTAGCGTCAGCGCCAGTTAACGCCGCTCCTAAATCACTTAAATATACAGGATTATCAACAACTCGTGTTCCTTGATGCAGCATTTGATTCAATGACTCCCGATAAATTGGATTCATGCTGATTATATCACGAATAGTTTTTATTATTTCTTGCGTCAGAGCCTGAAAAATAAATGAATTAAAAATAAATTTTTAAACACCAAAAAACAAAATTAAAAATAATTACTTTAATTTCTTCAGTCTGTCGGAACTTCTCGTGAGTAACATTGACAACTTCAGCCATGAGAAGTGGTTGCGGAGATCCGTCCATCGGAATCGCTTGAACTGGAGGCGTTTGAGCGTCAGTTGGAGCAGCGGCAGGAGTAACTGGAGCTTTGGTATCAGCTTCATCGGCTACATCTACAGTTTCAGGCTTAACTTCTTCAAGAGTTGACTTTTCCTCGGGATCAACTTTGAGTTCGTTTCTCTTGCTCCTCACATAACGACGCGATTTTTTAGGTTCAGCTACCGGCTCGTCTACGGAGACGTTAATTGAAGTATTAAATAGTGGAAACGTCAATTTCATCTCTGTGTGTTTAAATATAAATAAAGTATGAAAACTCGAGTGGTATGATTGGATTACAATTTCAGAATTTATTTTCTTGTAAATAAAAAGTGTGATTTAAATAGTTAAAAGTACCTTGGGGTGGTTTTTCACTAATGTCTTCGATCATCTGGCTTACTATTTTTATCCTGCGGTGAGACATGATGACCAGACGTAACTTGTCTCCCAGGTCTTGGATTTCGTGGATCTGAGCGAATGTTCCAATGGGATAGACATCGTCAACGCTTTTTACAATCTCTGCTTCGTTTCTAAAGGCATAAATAATTGAATTAAATCGCGTGTCAAATACCAAAAGGGGGTATAAAAGTTATACGTCCTTTTAGCTTTGCAAAATCAAAAGGGCATATAATTTTTTTTTATACCAATCGTTTTGTTAAGAGGGATAGCTCTGTGAAATTAAAAAAAAAAAAATTTTTTTTTTTATTAAATTAAAGTTTATACATTCAAAAATATGTATCTGGAGTTTCATATGAAAATTCCGAATATTTTTCGAGTTATAGTCATTTTTGTGGCAGCGTGTCAAATTTTTTTTTCCGTATTCGTCTATTCAGTAGCTATCGTTGTACGTAGGAGATTTTGAAAATTTTGATTTTTAAGATTTTTTAGGGCTGTTTGAATCCAAAAAAATGAGAAAAAAAAACGAAAAAATTTTTCATAAGTTGCCATTTTTTTTAAAATCCCCTACGTGCAACGATAACCACACGCATGCAGATTACAACGCTGATTCGTTTTTTTGTTTTAAATAATCCGTTTTTGAGTTAGAGATCACATCGTGGTGGGGGAAATTTTTTTGTTGCTCCACAAAAATGCTTATAACTTTGTAACAACGTGATATTTTTTAATCAAACTTTAGGAAAATGATCTTCAATGTATACTTTGTAAAACAAAAAAAAAAAAAACCCGATCCCTAAATTCCTTTATTATCCCAGTCAAAAAAATTCCCGAAAATCACCTATTTTTTCGATCCTCACAGTGGCTATCCCCCTTAACCCTAGACTGGTCACCCTATGAGCGTGACGCCGCGCTCAATTATATTTTGTTTATTACATATTCAATATTTACTAAAATTATTCAAAAAAATTTGACTTTGTTCCTTGAACATTTTAGAATATATTAATAATTTTTTCAAACATCTTCGAAAACGTTAAATTGCTGAAAAAAAAATTCTTAAAAAAATTTTCGGGGCTTTCCTCATCGCTTGACCAGAGTCGTAAGTAGTTTTTTGTCTGCGGCGTTGCCGAAAACACCTAAGTCGCGTTTGTTGACCAGTCTAGGGTTAACATGTACTTAGTTTAAAAATGAAAAAAAAAAATTTCCAAAGCCAAAAAGGCGTACGTCTCAAGTTATACGCCCTTTTGGCTTTAGAACACTGAAAATTTAGTGATCTAAAACCAAAAGGGCGTATAATTTTTTTTTTTTTTTTGGTGCCAATCGTTTTGTAAACATGTTCTAAGCCTAAAAATGAAAAAAACATTTCCTAAAACCGAAAGAGCGTATATCTTAAGATACGCCCTTCTGGCATTAGTACGTCAAAAATTTTTTTTCTGCAGATCTTTACGTTTGGAGCGATTCTAAAAAGAATAGCAAAAAAAATTTTTTCTATAGGCCATTTTGGCATGGAACTCTATCTAACTGCTGTAATAAGCCCTTTTGGCATTTGGCGCGCGAAATAATAAATACTAATAGGATAAAAGACCTCCGTAATTAGTGGTGGGGATCCCATTACTAACACTTTCTTTGATTCTGGTACTTATTCAGTTAATAAAATCATTAATTTCAATTATGAATATATTATTTTTAATCTTTAAGACCTTTAGATCAAAAAAATTTTTAATTTTTATTCCAAGTAGAACATTTTTTCATTGAAAGAAAAAGTGCCACTATGGTAAAAGACCCAGTTATTGACACTTGCAATTTTATTTAAATTAAATAAAACAAATTAATTCTAATAAATTAATAAATATAATTTTTGAATTAAAAACTTTAAGATAATTGGTGTTTTGAGAACATTTTTTTTTTTTTTAATTAGAATAAAATTGCAAGTGTCAATCAACTAGGTCACTGTCAATAAATGGGTATTTTACCTTGGGGCTTAGAGGTACCACTAATGGAGTCTTTTACCCTAAATAAATTTTAAATTTCTTAAATATAATTATAAATATTTACTCTTCGTTCTTTTTTAAAAATATTCCAACGTAAGGTTGGTTCAGTTTAACTTTCCGGCGTATCAAGTCGATTAAAATCGGGTTAGTCAGCTCTATAAGCTTGATAAAACGAGGAAACACTGGGTGACGACTTATCGCTATTACTGGTACATGAGGCCACACTTCTGGAACGACAACTGTCGCTGGTAACGTTGCTGGATACCCTTCTGGAGCTGGCTCAGCTTCGACTTCCCTGAAAAGTAAAAATTATCAGAATTTTTTTTTTGTAAAAATAAAAATCAATTTTATATTAATATAAATTAGTAATTACAGTGGTGGATCCTCATTATCTGGTTGTTTAGTTGAAAATTGACGTAAAGTCGTCGAACATGCAATTCTCTTGTAACTACTGATGACATTCCCATCTGTTCTATTGCTAACTTCCAGCCAATTTATTTTTTTAACAGTAGAGATAGGTCTTCTTATAATTGATAAATTTGAATATCTATTTACTGTCATACGCTGACGAAATACCGGTAATAATTGTGAATTTATTGATTTTATCAACAATCGCATTTTATAACTTTCTTAGAATCACAAACACTTGGCTATAATACGTATTATTAAATTGATTTCTTGGTTTTTTATTTTTTTTAATTTATCTAAGATGATGCAAGGTTAACAATCAAATATCAGCATGTACCGTATCACTGAATAAAAAAATAGAGATGTATAAATAAAACTTTGAAATTTATTTTACAAATAATTGTTACATAACCTTAAAGGTAATTTTAAAAGTTGTTTCTGGATTCTCCGCTTGGAGACACTAGCGTTCAGTTTAAAAATATTTAAAATTATTTTTTTAGTTTCTTAATTCATCACTAGAAGACTAGTTTTAAATTAATAATCATAATAATATTAGCCAAAAAAAATTTTCTCTAACTGTCCTAAAAATTGAAGAAAGTGATTCATTAAATTACAATAATTATTATTATTGTATAAAGATAAAATGGATAAAGATCTAGATGAAAAAAAGTTTAAGCTTACAACAAAAGAAAATATCATGAACTTAAAAAGTAACAAGAATAAAATAATGACAAGTAAATTCTTTACTCCAATGCCGGCTATTCCAAGTATTGAATTGCAACCAAAAAAAACTGTTTTGACTAAAAAAATGGGTAAATCTCGAGACATGTATCGAGACAGAATTATTTGTTCAGAAGAAGTCAGTCGGAAGAAATTAAAATTAGACAAGGAGAAGACGGAGATTATTACTAGAAGAGCTGATGAAGAAACGAGCAAATCACCAGAAAATGATGAAGAATTCTTTGAAAAAATAAGACAGAAATGCGAAAGTGAAAAGGCTAAGTATGTTTATTTATTTTATTTTATATAAATTACGTGTACATTAATAAATTTTCAGATGACATTAAAGTTAGCAGTCATTTAATCATTTAAAAAATTTTTTTAATAAACAAATTTCTTCCGAAGATTTATTTAAAAAAAAAATCCATTTTTTAACAAATAAATTATAATAAAAAAAAATTGACACATAAAAATTTTTTAAATTTTAAAATGGATTTTTTAAAAAATAAATCTTCGGAAGAAATTTGTTTGTTAATTTTTAAAAATTTTTACGTGTCAATTGTTTTTTTTATCATTTTTTTTTTTGCCATAATTTTTTTGTTAAAAAAAAATTCTAAAAAGTTATCATACTTTTCAGAGGACTTTTGGTTCAAGGATCTCAGCAGAAAAAAGTGAAGAAAATAAAAAAATTATTCAGTGATGACTGTGTTAAATTGATGAATAAATTTAAGGAAGCTTGTAAGAATCCTTTACCTGCAGACAATGCTACAAAAATGCCTAAATTTAATTCCACTGAAAACTCTGAGCCTAATGAAAATTCACTTGATAATTTTTCAACTCAAACTAATTATCCAAGCGAGGTTTTTAATATTAATAATAGTGCTTATCAAGATAATCTAAAAATTCCTGACTCTTCAACCTTCATCGTTAATTCACCCAGGTTTTTATTACAATTTTTTTATTATTGAAATAATTTTCATTACTTATTTTATGAAATCATTTTCAGTTTTTACAATGACCAAGAGTTTTTGACAAAACTTGAAAGAGATAAGTTGATGTCAGATCTTGAGTACAATCTAGAAACGCCTAGCTTGCACAACCAATTATTAAGGTACACAATACATTTTAAGATGTTTAGAGGAAAATATTTTCTTAATTGATAAATTTATGTATTTATTGTTTTAGTTTCTCAAGTGTGAAAACTCCGGAGATGAGTCCCAAAATGAGGACTGCATCAAATTTCCCTAAACTTTCAATTCCACAATTCTCTATAGACGATCCAAGAAATGATGAATCCTTCCCTCTAACGCCTTTTAGAGTTCCATCACCAATATTTAATAATATTCATGATAATAATAATAGTTCTATAAACTATTTTGAATATCCTATGGGAGCAAAGAGATCAAAAAAATTTTTTGAGAAATAAATTTTTTATTTATAATACAAAACTTTTTTATAAATCCAATCACAGTTAAATTTCTTAATTTGTATAATAATTTTAATTGATTTTTATGTACAATTATAATCGTTTATGTTAACGAATTTAACATTGTTTTTTTTTTTAATTACATAAATTATATAAGTGGTAAAGTTTACCAAAAAAAGTAACTTTGGTACGTATAATTCTTCAAAAGAAGTAATTAAAATAGTGAGTAATAATAAAATATGTACTGTTTTCAAAAATAATAATAAAAATGAAAAAATAATTTTTTTAAATAAACTACAATAATAATAATAATAATAACGAAAAAATAATTATTAAAAAAAAAAAACGTTTTCATATATCTAAATAAAATATCATAGAAATGTAAATAATACTACTTCGAAATCCAAATATCTTCATCCCCTTCTTCTTGTGAGAGAGTAACCTCACCTTTTGATGCCATGCCTGATATAAAAAAAAAATTATGGTTTTTGTTAATAATATAAAAATATTTTCTACTTACTTAAAAGAAACTTCAAACATGTCACTGCATCTGATTTTGTATTATTCTCAAGGGGAACTAAATTTTCAAAAGTAACAGCTGACCGTTCAGCTAGAAATACTTCAAGTTGAGCTTTCAAATCAGTTAGAGTCCACGAAGATGGCGAAGAGCTCCTTGAACTACAAAAATTTTAAATAAAAAATTTAAACTTTAAATTTAACAAGCGAAAAAGTAAATAAAATTAATATTACCTATCATTGGAAACAATGTCATCGACATCAATAATATTTTCAGACTCACGATGAAACTGTGATGATCTCTTCGGAAGATCTGACCACAATGACTCATTGGACTCTGGTTCTGGAGGAGTCAAGCCAGCTATTGCTACATCAAGAGTTGCACCAGTAGCGTTATCTTCTGGAGCAACATCTTGAGTTCCACTGAAAAAATAACCATCAATTGAATAATTCAACTTAATCAGATTAATAAATTGATTAGAAGGTTACCTGTCGAGATCGGGATGAGAGATTTCTGGGTGATGAACGTCAACTGTTGACTCAGTGTTAGCTTGCTCTGTATTGTCTGTTTGATGGTCATCAGTGTCATCAACTCTAGTTTGATCAGTTTGATTGCTTTTTCGCCGATTAGTTATTATATCAGCGGCAATATCATCAGAGAGCTGAGCTGCTGAGTGGACTGATGCACGTCTTGCAAGGTCTACGAAAATAAATTCTCGATTATAATCGGGTATTCTAATATCTTAACTCATTTATTAACAACATCACCTATGTCAGCAGCAGAGCGAAGAGGCGTAAGCATGACTTGGAAGTTTGCCAATAGAGCATCTGCTAGATGACGAAATTTTTTGCTGTTTTTGCACCATGATATGGCCGGTCGATTAAATAAATTTTCTGTAGTTTGGCGAAATAAGTTGATTTGAATCTGAACATCTGCGCGATTCTGAAAGATTAATTGCCAGTTGAATTAAATTAAAAAAGTTATGTCCCTGATAATACTGTAAACTTTTTTGGTGGCTCCTTCCAGGCTTTCCGCTCTAATCTCAAGAAACATATTTTGCAATATTATCAATAACACTGTTAATTTTTTTTTTATTTTTAATTTTCTCTAAGCATCGCCAAATAAACTTAAACTTATTTTGTGCAATTTTCGAGCCAAAATCCAGAATTTAAAATTCATAATTTATCTATACTAATAAATGGAGAGTCGATTTTTTTTCCGGTTATACTGCGAAAACTACTGAACTTATCGGAATAATACTTATACCATAAGCTGCAGCATGTTTTCGGAAAAGGTTTTGGTATATGATATGTTGGTGATTACTTATCCGGAGCCTATATTTTTTTGACTTAGAAATAATGAATTTTTATTGTATGTAACTAAATTTATTCTATATTCGATTGTCATTTGTTTAAAATAAATTTTTTTATTCTATTGATTATGTTTATATAATAGGCAGATTTCTTCACTTATGAGACCTGCAATTTCTTTAACTGAAACTTTCAATGCTCATTACAAATTTTTTTTTTCAAATCAATTATTATTTATTTTTGTAAGAAAGACACGGGAATGTTATAATGATTGCATATTGAAAGTTAGAATGAATATTAGCTAGAATAATTACATGGATAAAAGGTGCATACCAATTCAATAGAATTGGGAATCTGTGCAAGTCAAAACAACACTCTAATTAAATTTCAAATCTAGATCTAAATACTTAATTCTATGAAGTCCCCAGCGGAGCGGGCGAGAAACAGCTAGTATCTTATAAATTAAGAAATGTACTAATTGTTGTATAATGCCGATTGGCGTTCAAATGAATGAATAAATAAATAAATAATCTTACCACAGTATAAATATTATTGCGTTGATTTTTTTTTATTGCTTCACCACTAATACTTATTACTGGATCCCGGAATTTTAAGTTCTTTTTGGTTCTACGTTGCTTTGGAACTTCAAGAGGATCGATTTCTAACTCGGCAAGTTTTTGGAGAGTGTCCTGTTCGGATTCGTGAGCTGGTGAAGTATCTGCTGGAGGTCCTGGCTCGGGTACAACAAGAGCACTTTCTTGCTCTAGACTTGAAATTCCCACGGGTTCAGGTTTAGGTTCAGGTTTAGGTTCAGGTTCGGGTTCACCTGCTGGTACTTGAACGTCTATTTCTGATGGCTGAACATCATCAGGTGCTTCTGTTTGGACGTCATTAAATGCATCCCTCAGAGATTTCTATCGAAAAGTTAATTAAAAAATTAATTAAACAAATACTGATTAATAAATTAGTGATTCAAATATTTCTTACACGCTTCCGTTTAGAAGGAGTGTCATCAGTATTCCATTGCTTCTGTCTTTTTGTAGGAGTCATAGTGATATTTGCAGCTGCGTAAGGTGCTAAAATAAATTCAAGTGATACAGAATTATAGATTAAAGTTTTTAAAAATATTTTAAGAAAATATATTACCAGAAATATTTCCGAAGTTCATACCAGCCGTCTGGCCAAGAATTTCGCGAACAGAACTAGTTGATAATAAAAAATATTATTAATTAAAATCATAATCAGGCTCGACAGTTATTTTAATTTTTTATCAGCAAATACTTACTCAGCTTTTTGTGTCATATTATTCAAAAAATCAGTCAAATCAGATGTAGATGTTGTACCAAAGCTATATTCAACTTCTGGAAATTTCTGAAATTAAAAATAAAGTTAATAAATAAATTATGCCTTTTTTGTTAGTTAGAAAAATAAATCCATTAAATAACAATACAATTTGTTGAACAGCATGTATATAATCTGCAGGAAGTAAATGAGTATCAGCTACTAAATCTTCACTAAAATTAACATCAATATCAGGAATTCTTAGATAATCAATGGGATCGCCATCTTCAGCTGATTTATCAGTTTTTCTGCAAAATAAAATTAATAATTAATTCGGAATATTTTATTTACAACCCAATAAATTATTACCGTGAATTAATAATTGGAGGCAATGTTGATTCTTCAAATTTCTTCAGATCACCTAATATAGAAAACATTGGTAAAAAAATATGTTAATATTTAAATAATTATAAATTCAAAAAATTACCTTGGAATATGAACAATTTAAATTTAATGAGCTTCACGACTCCGTAAACCAGTTGAACAATTACATCGAAATAAACTTTTTGCTCACGCTGCGTGCCAGATGATTTTATAATTTTTTCAATCTCTTGGCTGTAAAAGACATTCCAGTGATGATCAATAACAATTTATTATTTATGTAAAGTGATTAAATACTTTACCAAGCGGGGGATAAATCAAAGGCAAGAATTTGTTTTCGATTGAATGATTGTCTAAACATTCGATCACTTAATCCACTAGCGACCCAGACTGTGGTAACCGATCTTGGACAGTTTTCCTTCAAAGCTTCGGGAATGAAATTCATTTTCGCTGATATTTTATCCGCTATCAAAATTAGTAAAAAAAAATAAGTATCAATTAATTTTCAACAATTGAAACTTGATGAATAATCTATATTATTAAGAGAATAAGTAAAATTTTGTGGCCAGTGTATTTATATGATAAAATCGGTTTTTTTTTTTAGTGAAATTTATTGTCATTGCAAAGGTTTTGATTTGAATTTGTGCCTTTTCAAGGTTTTGTATCATACTCACCAATAATCAATTTATGACGATAAGTATTAAGGCTGTATTTGAAAATGCTCTATCTTTAGATACATAATTAAGAAATGACCTTGTATCTTGTGAACTATTGACATTTTTAAAGATATAAGCTCATCCCGATGTTACACTCCTCAATACCTTTCATTTAAGTACCCACATCATTTTTTTATATATTTATATATATTATATATATATGTATATATGAAAAATGTATCAAAATGCATGTTGGTACTCAAATGAAAGGCTCTTGATGAGTGTAACATCGGGATGAGCTTATACCTTAAAAAATGTCAATATTTAAGAAAGTACAGTGCAATTTAACATAATTAAGAA